TAAACTTCCACTATAAAATGACGAATCGAAACAAAGCCCTGAGTTGACGAAAACTTGCGGATGTTGCCTTATTTGGTTCTGGCCTATACTTAAGTCACGCCCCGAAATTGACATACAAATCAGCCCACTGGTTCACAGCCCAAGAGAACATGCATAGAGGTAGATGGAAGACACCAGTTTAGCTGTTTAGCCTACAGTTGGGTTTTCTTCTACTAGAATTACAAAGCAGGCAGTTTCTCTATAACCAAAGGCGTGAATGCAGGGTTCCAGGCTGCGAGGAGAAAGGGGAACATATTCACAGTCTTCCAAAGGATCCAAAGACTCGACAGGCATGGATTATGTTTGTCCATCAGAAGATCCCTGTAAAGTTTGATGTTCAGCTGTTCATTTGCTCCAAGCATTTTAGGGAAGACAGCTTTCAAAATCTTGGACAGTTCAAAGCAGGATCTGCTGGGCCGCTGACTGGACCAGACCGGGCACTAGAACCGAGCCGTCAGCTTCGGGGCTGGTCAGGGAACCCCGACGGACGGGGGCAGGGAGCCGGCCGGGGACAGAGCGACCAAACCCGACCCGGTGACGGTACCCTGGACACCGGCGACCCCGTGCTTCCCCCCGCCTGCCATACCCCCCAGACTTTTTTTAATTATGAAAAGTAGGACATTACTGGGAAAAGCAGGACGTCTGTTCACCCTACCATATCAACAATCTGATGTTTCAGTGAGTGAGTGCTTGTTGCTATGATGCAGCTTTGCTTTTTGTAAACCAACCAATCAGGGCGCAGCTCATCTAAATATTCATGAGCATAACATAAAAGGAAGAAAACCTGCCATTTCATTCTAGGACCTTTAACCAGGCTTGCATTAGGGCTCATAGAACAGCAAATATACCATTTTCAGCCCAACCAATGTTACACAACCTATTCAGAGACCTAAGGAGCAGCATCAAATACCCTACATAATCATTCTATGACCCCTTTAAATCTGAGCTCTAACTTGTGTTGATCTATCACATAAAATCTGTTTTTAATGCATTTTTGAGTCAAGATGTGGGGGAAAAGTCCAAGGCGCTGTAGATGATGTCTCCATCAGAAATGCAGTCTTAGGATTTTGTTGCAAATAAAACACCACAGTGGTCTAACACACACTTGCTGGTGTGTGTTTGTCTTTCTTTCCTCCCCTTCTATCCTCAGTCTGTGAATCGAGACATGCCCTGGGACAGTTAGCTGGAGACCTCTGCCCTCCTCTGCTTTAGGTAAACCAAAGCAGACACACCCATGGGTCGGTGTAACACACCCTACCGTCTTCCACTCAAGATCTGACAATGATCGTTAGTCAATGCAGAATTATTTACTGTTCAAAGAACTCCTTAAAAGTAAAAGCTAAGAAACCTACTTGGGATTTTAAAATCAACGAGTGACAAAAGAAAACTAGTGAGGGAAATCCCAGCCATACATTGGAAAAAAATCTAAATTTAGATAAGTCATTTTTTATTCATAAAATAACTGTTTTTGTTCTTGGATTTAGGAATTAAGAGACATTTTGCCAATGGAACAAGACAATTTACACTTAAAATAAGAAAACACAATTGCTTTGTCTTATTTCAAGTGCATTTTATCTTATTTTAAGAGTAAAAATACTCATTCCATTGGCAAACTATCTCATTTACCTACTGAAATTAAGGGTAAATACACCTAATATAAGAAAACTTTACTTATTTCTAGATCGTTTTTCCAGTGCAGTGTAGTGAGAATTGCCTAAAATGTTTTTCCTGTTTGTTTTTTTCCCTCCAGAGTCTGAAGGAAGGGCTGACTGCAGAGCAGAGACTCCACCTGTTTGAAAACAAAGACGCTAAGGAGTTCTGACGGCGCCTCATCACGCCTGCCTGCCATGCTGCATGTTTAGAAATCCACTAAATTTTAGCTCTGCTACGACTTATTTAGAAACACTAAACACTGGTCACTGAACACGGATCATGTATGTTATTAAAGAAGACACGCTATGAAGTTTGAGTTTCATGTCTAGAGTTTTGCATTCCATGCACTTCAGTTAACTGTGACATTTTCTTTTTGTATTTTCTATGTCTTACTGTAAATAATGTTTTTAAAAAAGAGCATCTGCCGTGCATACACTAAACTATGACTGTGTAAGCTACTGTTTTAACACTATAGACTGTTGCTAGCCAAAGACATTTAGCTGTAATGTTGACTGGCTAAACAAAAAAAACAAAAGTGCATATTAAGAAGTTACACTTGCATACCAGCACTATAGGAACGTCTCCAGTGATCTGGCCGTTGTGGCTCCTCTGCACCTTTATCACACGTCAGTAAACACAGAATGAACATGCTCGGCTCCATTTGAAGAAAAACGAACATCTGTGTTGCTTCTGTCTTCCAAAGTAAAGAAAAAAGGCGCTAGGTTCACTCAAAACCAACGTTCCTGGAAAGGTAAACTGAATGCTTATGGACAGATTTCCTGACTATAATTTAATTACATTGAATGCTATAGTTTTTGTTTGTTTTGCTCTCACAGCAGTCGTTGGCCCAGCTGTATAGGAGTTGCTCCAGTTGCTTTGTGTTTGTAGTCTTGTTCCGTGGCAGTCCCGTTGTATTTATTTAAATGGCTGGGATTTTTCTTTTTACATTCCCACTCCTCTGTACTCTATTATTGTAAATATAAAGCAAATATACACCAACTGACTACAGGTTTATTAGCAATAAATATTTTTGCACCCTTTCGAAGTGTCTGGTTGTACCAATGTTTCACCTTAATGTTTCTAATGGACAGTATACAGTAAATTCCACAGTGTTAAATATGCGGTGTCAAAGTACATGGACTCTTTTAGAGTTATTACAATAACTTGAGTAAGATATACACTACGTAGAGTTCTAATTCAACACTAATTCCGAGTGGGACCAAAAGCACTATATGAGAGAACGATTCTATTCTGGATTTAACAGGAAGCTAAAAAAAAAAAAACTTCCTTCTGTAAATCACAAAATATAGTGTATCAGACCAGTTGGTTTATAATTTAAGAGAATTGTTCTACTATTAAAAATATTTTTAAAAAGTCTGCATGAAATTTGCATCTAGGTGTAACAGTGGGTGCAAAAACGAGGTAGCAGTAAATCAACATAAATATAAAAATGGAGTTAAATTAGGTGAGGTCCAGCTATCGTTTATTATGTTAAACCTTTACCAACTTAATTAGTTCATATATCAAAATTTAAACCTTGGTTCATGACCTAATGTGCAGCTTAAATTGGTATTTTTCTGCCCCTAAAGCTCCCTATGAAACAAACTAAATCACTCCTTTAAGTGATCTTTTGAAGTCTGTGATATTGTTTGATATCTTGTGGCATTGTGAGAAGGGAACGCCACAAAACATTACAAATGTTTCTGAGCTTTCCTATCAGCAAAGCCATCTTTTTAAAATTTAACTGAACAAAACTTAAGATCAATACTTAAGGAGGAAAAAAGGCTTTTCAGATTGCAGTATTTGAGCCAATGTGTCCAGCCCTGCAGGAAGGAGCACGGAGAATGCTGATGATGCATATAACTGACTCCATGTCAATCTCTGCTGTAGGTTCATCTAACGCTACTTCCCTGACAGTTTGCCTAAAACATAAAAATGAAATGCAACAATATTGAACTGTATTAACAAATACAATTAATTTATAAAAAGGCTTATAACAAATAACATATGAAGGGAGAGATAGAGAATATTATGGAATACGATAGGATAAATGTCATTTAAAAATCACATTTGGAAAGAATAACATAGATTTTTGTTTTTTAAAGGATAAAATGAGTACATTTATATTCTTAAATCCTGTCCTTGCATGGAGAGTTTTGGTTTGACTAAATCTGTGCATGAAGAATTTCATCAGAACAATACAATTAATTATAAATTCCCTTTGTTGATCTCGGGCAATTATTCCAAACTTTATATTGGTACAGGAGAGATCCTTTTTTTTTAGGGATTTTGAGCGCAACCAGTAAAAAAATTCTCTTAAAAAATGTGGGTTTTCTTCACCTTGTCTGTTCCTGTTTGGCGGTGACACCATCCTGGAAAGAAATATCAGCTGTGCTGCTGCCATCAACTCCTTTGTTTATAGATGTTTGAGATCGGCCTGTTTCTCCAGTGTAGTCCTGTTTCTCTGACTGTGACTGGTTGGATGTGCTCTCTTCTTCTGATTGCTTTATGATCAGGTGAGCTGTAAAGTGCCTTGAGATGACGTGTTGTGAATTGGTGCTATAGAAATAAACTGAATTGAATTATTACAATGGAAAACGAGGGTTGAATCATCCTCTTCCCCACATAGATGATTTTTTTCTATTTATATTTTGAGCTGATGAATTGCTTGGAATCATAAATGTAATTTAAAGTTTTTAAAATAATTTATTTAGGTCCATGTTGAGGCGGAGGAGAAAACCTAAGATATTTAGTTCATTTTTGGAGTATGTTTTAAATGAAATAAAATATTAAATATTTTTTACTTTTTCCTCTAAAAGCTTTCATGGGATTTTTTTTGTGCATTAGAATATTCCCTCAGTCAATGTGTTTTTAAGTTCAGGAATTGAGATATTACTGAGGCAGCCTTGAAATAAATCTATCGATATTTACTATATTAGTACTATATTATACTATATTAGCTATTGCGTAATTTAAGTGATTTATTTTGAAGGTTGAAACCGGAAGTCAGAGATTAAGTTCCAACATGACGCTGCTATCAGAGTAGTCTGTTCCTGGAAAGTGAGTGGATATTTATTTAATGAAGGGCTTTTTTCTCTCCTAGCTCCAGTAGAATTGATAGGAAAAGGAAGTGCTGTTAAAGGAGACACTGGCAATGATGAAATCCTTTCTGAATGTTTAAAAACGCAGAGATTTTTCTCGTCCGGGTAAGTTATGATGAGAAGCCCTCACCTCCGTCCGTCCTGTCTTTGTTTCACCCAGCCGGGCCTTGCCCCAATGCGGACCGTTTACATGAACGCAGTGCCAAACTCCATTAAAGGAATTTTTAAATTTAACTAAATGTAGTTTGTCGCTTTTTTTAGAACAGGTATTTAGAAATGTCAAATATTTTATTCCATCAAAGTTACACATTCTGTTATTCGGAATCAACTAAAATAGGTTAAGGTTAGTTTTTGTGCTTAAACTTTTAGTTTTTCTTTATACTTGCGTTGGATAGTTTCCTCACGCTCGAGAGGAAGAGACAGTATTTTTATGGTTGCAAATTGGCATTTTATTAAATTAAATATTTTTGGTGGAAAAACGGAGGTAGCCGAAATTGCTCTACATAGTTGTCGGTTGGAGGAAATGTATTAATAAATCACTTCACGTCAAAATATTTGGTCTTTTTACGAATGTCTTTGAGTTTATTAAATATCCAACGGAAATTGACACGAGGGAAGACAGCCACGGCTAAGCTGGCTAAGCTAACTAGCCTGTCAGTGTCTGTTGCGAAAAGTTAGCTGCTTTTCTATAAAAGTATTCAACTCTTAAAATAACTTATTCAAACTGTTTGCATTTTGAAGTAACCTGAAACCAAGTTTGAGGGTAAATTTGCCGCTCGGTGACTTTATTTTCCTGTGTTTGTTTTTTACTGCAGGATTTAATATCAGGTACACGTCAGGTAGCTAGTTTATGGCAGCGGTGAGACTAAAGGCTCGCGGTTTAACAGTTTCCTTTGCCCCTCAGTTTGGTTTTGGTTAATATCTAGAACTACCTCTGTAGAAAAGAGAAAAACAAAACTTTCTCTTTGTTTGGCATTTCCTGAGCAGGTCACTAGAGGCGGATGGAGATTTAATGCACTCATCCGGGGCTTTCCTGTCATCGACTTTGGGCTTTTAATTATGTTTAATCTGCCGCAGAAGAAATGTTTTGTTTGTTTCAGTCATTTTCTGTCATTTTTAGGCATTAATACGGAAGAGGATTAGGGCCACTGGAGAAAAAAAAAAGTTAACTGAATTAAAATGGGGAAAAAAGTCAGATTTCTGACTTTAATCTCAGAATTCTGACTTTTTTTCTCAAAATTCGGACTTTTTTCCTCAAAATTCTGACCTTTTTTTCCTCAAAATTCTGACCCTTTTTTCCCTCAAAATTCTGACTTTTTTTTCTCAAAATTCTGGATCTTAATCTTAAAGGGCACCACGAAGGAAGAGAGCGCTCAGCTTCACCTACAAGCAATCATGTTGGCATTATACTGGATAGAGGAAGTCAAACCCCTGAGAATATTAATATGTTCAGATTCAAGTGCAGCATTGACTAGTCTTAAAAATACGGTGTCTAAATGTAGGGAGGATATTATGCTAGAAAATTTGTTATCATTATACCGAGTACGTAATCTGGGGATTGAAGTTCAGTTTTTATGGATT